ATTTTGCAAAATCTACAAAGAAACAGAAAAACGCACTAAGAACTTGGCAGAACTCCAAGGATATCCATCGCTGGACAGCCATGAAGACCCTAAAGTACGAAAGCCAATACTACGATGCTTTAGCTTTAAAAACAAGAGGGACGGGACTCAAGCATCATGGTCTTCGTCCAACCAGAGTTACGTAACTAGGACAACATTGCAGTCTGAGGACTTGTGGACAAAATCAGACCAGGTCAGCACCCTGAACAGTTACACATCATCAGAGGATGACGAGCGGTCCGTCTCTGAGACAATCCCGCGAGAATCATTCAAGAACCAAGAATCGACAGCCAATAGAAATGGACAGCTGCTCTGTTATGAAGACAGCAAATATCTAAGTGATCTTGCAAAATGCTCCCAGACAAACAATAAAAAATGTATGTCATACAAGTTCAAGCCGATCCTTAGCGACATCACCGCTTTGCAAGGTAGTACCGAAGCCGATAGAACAAACACAGATCATTGTCAGTCCTCAGAGCCACAGGCTCCTTCATCCACATCCTCTTCTACTAAACCAGAAGATCCAAACTTGAAGATCCAGATGACCAAGCGGAAAAGAATGGTCCTTATCAAGGAGAAAAAGGCTGCTCAGACTCTCAGCGCCATTCTTCTGGTGTTCCTCCTCACCTGGACCCCGTACAACATCATGGTGCTCATCTCCACCTTCTGTTCTGAATGCATCCCAGTGTCCCTCTGGCATCTGGGTTACTGGCTCTGCTATGTCAACAGCACCATCAACCCCATGTGTTATGCCCTATGCAACAAGACCTTCCAGAAAACCTTTTGGATGTTAGTCCTCTGCAAGTGGAAGAAGAATAGAGGAGAGGAGAAACTGTACTGGTGTGGTCAAAACCATTAAATACTGAAGTAACACAACAGAAGTGGCCGATTTTAGAGCATTCTGAATGATCAAGATCACTATATTAAATGGGCACTAAAATTACATTTCAGGTTATGTTGTGCATACAGTGCCACAGACCATATTCCTTTATTATTCCTTACAATTTTCTAGGTCATATTTTTTGTGTACATTTTGTTTATATTGCTATATTGATTTGGAAAATGATATAATTTATTAATATTTAATGTAGCTTCTAATCTGCTTTCATTTAACATGTTTACACAGCAGTATATTTTAATATTGTGAAATGTCTAGGGCTAGGGATGGTGAGGACAATAAATAAAGATATGGAATGTGAACTTTTAAAATATTATAAATACCACATACAGTGTTTATTACAAGGTTAACTTTTTGTGATAAAATTATTTTCATGTATTGTACGGCTTGGTCATAAAAACATATTGACATGGTGTGCAAAGCAATGTTTTTGTATTATTATTATTATCATGTTTGCAGAACTGGACAGTGTTAGATATAGATTTTAAGATTTTGGAGCTGCCAAACCATCACTGTCGACTACAGAGATACACACAAAAAGATTGTAGCATCACTCTGGATGAAATATTAATTTATATGGCATTCATTTAGATTCCAACACTGAAAGCACATTTGACATTTCTACAGCATCCCGAATGTGTACTGGTCCATATTAAATATAAAAAATCTTTGTGGTGCCAAGAATTAGATCGGAACTCACTTGAACATTAACACATCATATAAACACATTTATGAATGTTGCCTGGCTGTTTTCCATTCATATTGTTTGACAAGTCTCTACTCTTGTGATGACGTGCCATTTAATTTGATGTGAAATAAATGTTTTAACATGAGATTAACCCAACTAATTGAAACATCAGTCTGGATTTGGCAGGGGTTCCATCATCAAGGATGTCAAACTAAAGCTACAACAACTACCCACTGATATACTAGCAACTGTTTACCAGTCACTTATCATGAAATGTGGTTTAAATGTTGATCTCCACACATTTTACCATGCAAGCATCATGCTGAGAACAGTAGACAAATAAGACGGATATTTTCCACCAGTTTATTTCCATTCAGTTTAAATAAGATTATACTTCATAGCTTAAATCTTATGAATTTCTCATCTTCATTCACAGTCTTGTACAAACCCAACAAGATATAGTAAATATTATAACCTAAAAACTTTATTTCAAGTAGTTATGAAACAGAATTGGGGTCAATGTCACCTCCTTGGGTTGGTCTGGAAATACACATGGTATCACTGCAAAAATGGACCCTCATTATATATTTTTCATCTATCTTGACCCTTAAGCTCAAGTGTGCTTTTAAAATATCCCAGAATGCTTGTGACAAAATGAGTAAAACAAATACATACAGTGAGTACTAAATTCTGAATCTGACTTAATCAGTACAGCAGCTGTTGCATCAACCCAAAGCACTCAACAGCCAACCAACAACGTTATGCTGAATTTTACTTAAAGCTTTTATTACTACTTCGCTTTTATTTAAGTTATAACTGAGGTGAAACTGTATTAACCTCAATTCTGAGAAGGAATCATACCTGTGTGACGAATCTTTTGCACAGCAGCAGTAAAAGCATAGACTACCATCACATTAATTGCATTACAAGATATTGAAATGTTTTAGCAAAACTGAATATCTTTAACTGTTCAATCAAATACTTTACTTTCTCACTCATTCTAAACGTAAAGTTAAAACATCCTAGTTAAGCTCTAAAAAAAAAAAAAAAAAAAAAGATGAATTCATGCCTTGCTCGATCTGTACTGGTTTTATCCATTACTAAATTTTATGTATAGGCTAGTTTTCAGAGTATCATTAATGATTAAAATGATCTGATTATTAACAATGTATCCAAAGAAGACAAATAAGTATGGAAAAGTAGCACAGCGCAAACACAGTCTTGCTTTGTCAAGCATTTCAGTTGAAAAAGAAACTGTTCATATACATATATATATATATATATATATATAAAGGAAAACCAGTAAAACAGTGTTAAAGAAAACGACAAAATACACGGCACTACCTCCTCTTCAGAGCAACACTTCTGCTGCCTTTGTTGCCTCCTCCAGACTTACTGGAGCCCTTGGAGAACAATTTTGTCATGAATTCAGAAACATCTGGCAATTCTGGGTTAGGGTTCAACATATTCATAGATTGCTCCATTTCCTGCAGGAAAAAAAGGCATCAAATTGTATAAATAAAGCAACATACAGTGGATGAGAATGTCTGTACCTACTTGTAGGTACTACATGCTATGTTTTTTATTACCTTTCTCATCTCAGGATCATTAGTATTTACCAACTTTGGGAGCAGCACGATGATTAATAAGGGAAGAACCATCATCATGACCTAAGGACGACAAAATATTTTAAAACACAAGCCACAAGATCTATTAGAAACCATCAACAACACTTATGCCATAGCTAAAATACATTATCATAAACAGCTCTGAAAATGCATCTTTGTAATGCTTAAGTTAATCTAAAGTAGAGGACAAAAAAATCTAGTTAAAGAATAAGTAAACCTAAAATAAACAATGACTGCTTAATCTCCAGTAAATAAAGTGCAACCAAATACATCTGAAAGAATCGAACACACAGAAACCATTATATGACTGTACCATTGGGTTCATCAGAAAATCAGTCCAGCCCCAAGTTTCCCGCTTCATGAAATATGTGTGTGGACCACTGGATCTGATCTGAAGAGGGTACGGCTGTCGAATAACTTCAGAGGTTTTGATGTAATTCACCAAGCGTGCCCTATGGTTTAATAACATTGTGAGATTAACTTAGATGTTTACGAAAAGAGCTGTTAGAAGAAGTTAGAATAAATTGGGAATGTTAGCCACCTCATTTTCCCTTTGGAGGTAATGTCCACCCGAATAGGATCAAATCTGAAAGACGGTGATACGATTTCAACCACATATGAGCCAGAGGGCACATCGTTGACAGCAAAGCTTCCATCTGTCCTGCGAGGGAAATTGATGTGGTTAATTCTGTCATCTTGGCAAAACGTTTAAAGGCTTATGAAACCACTGCCCATCTAATCTGAATTACAATGCCCTGCAATGATATTACATACAACCTACACATTTTTCACAAATACATTAGAAATCGTATTTATATAACAGAAAGCTTCAAACGAGATTATTATAACTGAGATTAAGTCATTTAATGAACACGCCGCAGTAAATCGAAAACTGACACACACAAATTAATATTTACGTTACATCACACTTTTTGACGTTAGCATTGCTGGTAACTCACTTGAGAAAACCAACATATTCCTCTCCTTCCACCAGGATTAGGGCTGTGGAGATCCAGTCTTGTGTTTTCACTCCGGGAACGCTCGCTCGCCCTTCGATTTTGAAACGGTCTCCATTCGACTGAGAACCTGCTACAGGCCCCGGCTCTCCGTCGGAAAAACACCATGACAACGCAAACAGAGCCTGCAACGCCACATATATATCTAATAGACGTTTCATTTGTTGCATCGTGTTTTGTCACACGATATATATGACGTTTAAAATGTACAATATTTCAATACGCGTCAACCTGGACCACGGGAATAGGACTAAAGGAAGTAAATGGTAAACGGAACTCAGAACGAACGCAGAGACCGGAAGAACATGTTACACCACGTGATTATCGGAGTTTATGGGCGGGGGTTTCGAATGGGAGTCCGACCCTTTACCGCGAACCGGATATTTAAACAGTTCGTTTTGAATGAACGACTACATCACTGCGGTCCAGCCAAAGACTATAGAAGGGGACTTTAGTCCAGCATACATACTCCAGTTCGTTCGAGTAAATCCATACATAGGCACATACTGCTGTTTATTGCGTTATGTGTCTCCCGGTTCAGTTTGTCGCAGTAGTTCAAAAAGAACACAAACGCAAATTAAACATAATTTACAATTGAATTAAACCAATCAGTCAATTTTTCTGACAACGTAATATCCCTTTTGATTGGGGTTGTGCCTGAACATGATTGTTATGGTCATTTTTTTAAACATATATATAAAATGCAAATATTCAAATAAACATCATAAAACTTTCAGTTTATGTAAATTTATTTGAAAGTTGATTAAAAGAAAATTACTATGTACACATTACACTTAAATATCCATTCATGATCAGGCAATGGACAACAACACACTAATAACTTAAAACTCCTGCAATTCAAGTGCATGACTGAAAAAAAAACATCTCATAAAGGTACACTTACACAATCACATCCACTTAAGCAGATTCACACCATAGCACAAGTGCAACAGTTAAAACGTCTGCTTGGCACTTCAGTGAGTTGCCTGATTCCAGAGAGTCTCATGGAGTTGACTATGTGCCCCTAAGCAAGTCCACTTCAATGTGAAGCAGTCATTCAGTGCCTGCAGGAAGAATTCCTCCTCCAGTGCTGAAATTGGAGTGTCTGAAATGTTCAGTTCATCTATCCCCAATTCACCACAGCCTATTGGGTTTCAGAATCACCAGCTCCAATCCAATCAAAGAGCTTAAATGCACCAAGAGTTTGTAGTGGTTATCTCCATTGTGTGCTACAATGATACATCAGCGCAGTTGTGACACATATGATTCTATGACCTGTGAACAAGAAAGGAGACAAGGTAAGACTGTTTTTTTTTTTTTTTTTGGGTAAACAGTTGCAATTTTTCAATTCAAAGAAAAAAAAAAAAAATTACAAAACACTCCACCTTTGCCGTTTCTCCTACAGTTCCTGGAACTGAACTTAAGTGTCTCTTCTCCTCCCACAGTTCAAGAAGCATCGTCTTCATTGCCTGAACATTCCTGCTGGATGCAAACATACTCAGTTACACCCTCCAGCAAACATTAATAAGTTGTTCTGTCATTTTATTTCCGTATATACAAATAAAAATGAAGCACCTGTCATTTGAAAAGCCATCACGCAAGCTTTTGTTGTTTGTGGAGAGCTCAGACCACCATTTTTTAATGACAGATTGAACCCAGTGTAAAGCTATAATGAGATGTCTGGAAAAGATTCAACCATTTAAAAAGATTAATTTAAACTTGGGCAAAATGTATAATGACAATAAATAGCAATGACAAATAAAAAATACAGGACAAAATACTTACTCTTCATATTTAGTGTTAAGAATCATTTTCACTTGTGGTAAAAGGTCAACACAACAGCCTATTGAAACACACGGTTGTTCTTCCTGAAGACTATAGAGGGAGAAATTAGTATGAAACAACATGTCTATCAAATCTACAACATGTCTAGCAAAAGTCAACAAACTTTGACTTTAAATAGGTTTTAATTAGGCTACCTTTTAGTAAGTACAGGCAAACAATCAACAAGCACCCCTGTGTCTTGTATTCTGGAAAAAAGTAAATTGGTTACTATGGTATTCATAAAAATGTAGAATTGCAAGCATCAATTATGCCAAAAAACATGAGAAAGAGGGCCATTTGGCATGCTGTAAAGACAAATCTATAAATGCCTGCAATACACTACCATTGAATGTTTCTAAAAGATGCCTCTCTTGATCACCCATGACTTCATTTATTTGATCAAAAATACAGCAAAAACATATTGTGAAGTATTACAATTTCAAACTTTTCTATTTTAATATATTTTAAAATGTGAGTCTTCAGCCATATCAACCTTCAGAAATCATTCTAATATGCTGCAGTTTTATATATATATATATATATATATATATATATATCAGTTTACTGAGACTTTAGATCAATTTAAAGGGATAGTTCACCCAAAAATTACCCCATGGTTTACTCATCCTCAAGCCATCCTAGTTGTATATGACTTTCTTCTTTCAGATGAACACAATCAGAATTATATTTAAAAATGTCCTGGCTTTTCCAAGCTTTATAATGGCAGTGAATGGGTGTTGAGATTTTGAAGCCCAAAAAAGTATATCCATCCATCATAAAAAGTACTCCACATGGCTCTGGGGGGTTAATAAATACCTTCTGAAGCTAATCGATGTGTTTGTGTAAGAAAAATGTTCATGTTTGGGTGAACTATCCCTTTAATGCATCCTTGCTAAATAAAATAATTTTAACCAAAAAAAAAAAAAAGTAGTGTATATAAGTGTGTATTTTGTGTCACTTTGAACATAGCTGTAGTAAATTTAAAACTGTTAACCTGTTCAAATATGCAACTAGTTCACTTGCGTTCTTCCGCCAAAGAGTCAAAGCAACATTCAGTCTCAGATTTCTTCCAAAGAGCACATGAGTCATTGCTTCATGGTCCTTTGATAACTGAAATAAAAACAAACGATTAGTACAAATAATACAAAGTTAGTACAAATAATACTATTTTATTATAGATCACACTTTGCCATGATTGATACTGCAGATATAGAGGGGTTGAAGATTTTAGAATCAACACAGGAAAGTTTTAGCTTAGAATGACAAGAACATAGTCAGCAAAAATATTAGCATTAGCATGCAGCATATCTCACCTCAGTGAAATAATCACTGTATTTGGAGCCAGCTCCTGCCATTTTTGAGGTGTCTGTTGAGTTCACAGGGAACCCACAGTTGTCACTGTAAAGAATAGCCTGCACGTCATCAGCACAGGTCAGTTCATTTTCTTTGTTTGCCATGTCAGATGTCCTGCTTGTGGTGGGCGATCTCCGACATACTCTTGATCCCACCCCAGAGTGACGTGTTTTCTTCTTGCTAACCACCACTCGCTTCGCTTTGCTGTATTTGTGCACACAACGGCCCACTGGAAATCTGTGGGATGGAGAATAATGCACGCTCAGCTTGTTAAAACAAGGAATAAGATGAAAGGCCATTAAGTTTGCATTGGAAAGTTTTAGCTTAGAATGACAAGAACATAGTCAGCAAAAATATTAGCATTAGCATGCAGCATATCTCACCTCAGTGAAATAATCACTGTATTTGGAGCCAGCTCCTGCCATTTTTGAGGTGTCTGTTGAGTTCACAGGGAACCCACAGTTGTCACTGTAAAGAATAGCCTGCACGTCATCAGCACAGGTCAGTTCATTTTCTTTGTTTGCCATGTCAGATGTCCTGCTTGTGGTGGGCGATCTCCGACATACTCTTGATCCCACCCCAGAGTGACGTGTTTTCTTCTTGCTAACCACCGCTCGCTTCGCTTTGCTGTATTTATGCACACAACGGCCCACTGGAAATCTGTGGGATGGAGAATAATGCTTGCTCATATCTTCTAACTGACATTTTACAAAATCAGCTTGTCAAAGCAAGGAATAATATAAAAGGTCATTGAGTTGCTATGGTCCAAAAACATACCTCTCTTGATCGGTTTCGTCCTTAAGTGAATAATCCACCTGAAAAGAGATCACAGTTAAAGCTAGCATTCCTAAAGGCTTGAGTATACTACACGACACTTAAAATCTGACACAATCTGGACAAAAGTCGTGTAGTGTATTACAGCATTAAAATACTGAAATGTATATTTGTAAACTGAAAAACCCCTATTAATCCCAACCAGCACATACACTACAAACAATTTGTCTATTTTAAAGCAATTTTTGAAACAAATCCTCTTACTCACCTCCCTCATGTTCTTCTCATCTCCAGAACAAACCATACGTTTGAGAAGATCATGGGGCTGGGCCTGCTTGAGCCTGTGGACTTCTGCATTACTTCCAACATGACTTCCAGTGGCCATAATAAGGGACTCTGAAATACAATGGCAAAACACATTATCTGGCACAGGATGCATGATGTTAAAGTAAAACAGCTGCGGTTTGTTTGCTCAAAGCCTCCATTGTGTAGCTTCTTCTTTAGAGATTGGATTTGGAATCATTCTAGAACCAAATTCGTACGAAAACGAATCAACTAATCTAAATGAAATATTTCAATGTAAAGCTTTTGCTATTGTTAGACAGTCTGGCACAGTAGCAGATTTTGACTAAATAAAATGTTTGGTTCCCAGAACGTTCAGTAGCATTAGTTTTCATTATAAAATAAAACCTAAAATAACCATTAAAGAACGTTATGTATAGTCTCTTTAGGTTCTCTCACACACACAAAAAAAGATACACAAAACGTTTCTAGAACGTTATTACTTAGTTCCAAAAATAACCAAACTGGATCCATATGCTAACGTTAAGGGAACGTTCTGAATTTGGTAGAATAAGAGCAGTTCATAAGGGCTGTGTCTCAAAACCTACACAGACAATACTATATACATATTATGCACACGTTATGACATACCATGCTAGTGTAAATAATATCGCATAATTCATTACCACACTCACAAGAGATGCTTTGTCATTTTAAAACGGACGTCTTACCACGTAACGTTAGCACGTTAAGCTGAGTCAGAGGAAGAGGACAAGTCTATGAACCGTTTGAATCAGACGTAACTAGTAAGTTTCAAATTAACAATCTATTATTCCTGGTAAATGTCCAGATCTGTCAGACGGAGCATAAGGCCTCCAATGATGTGACGCTGCTGTTTAGGTTCAGGTTTTGGTAGCACTGGCGAGCTAATTAAGTCAAATACATTTTTGACAAAGTCAATAATCTTTGACTAAATTGCAAAAGACAAGTCTAGAGATTAGTCCACACTCACACTGGCCTGTCCATATCAAAGCAGGTGATGAAACACACCAGATAGCTAGTTGCTAAACAAACAAGTCAGGCTAATCACCTGCTAGCAAACAAGGACTTAGCACGTACAAAACCTATAACATGTACAACGCTGTCAAACTGTATTTCGTAAGCACCCACCATAACATTGTGTAAAGTTGTCTATGCATCCTAAACCACGTTATATATCCGAGAGCGTTGCCATGCACACCCAGGAAGAAACGGGAATTTGAGTAGATTTCAGACTAGGAAGGACCTTTCAAGTAAATACAAACTTGAAATGGTGAGAATGGGTGAAGCGACATCTGATGGGGCATAATGGAACTGCTCGGCTTTGAAAAACAACATTTCAGTAGTTTATCCATGAAACACCATAGTCAGAATTGCACACTCTTTAAGAATTTTCTCAACGAATTTCATGAGGTGCATCTTGTGATGCTTTTCCAAATAAATAAATAAATAAAAATCCGTGTTTCTTCAGAAACTGGTTTTGATATTTATTTAACATGACTCTTCGTTTGATTCTAGAAATGTCAAGAACGGTATATGTTCTTCAATAAGAAAATATAAAATAATAATAAAAGTTAAAGTTTAGTTGCAGTTTACATTTTTTGAAATTTTAATTTAAATTAGAGTTTGATTATTTAAATATATTAATACTATTTTATCAGTTCAAATACTTCAAAGTCATCCTGCAGCCCCTCTGGAGGTTTGCTAAGGTCCTCTATAGTGGGCCCCCTGGTTCAGAACCACTGTTTTATATAGGTAATTAAAAAAGCATAAGCCTTTAGTTAAAAAGGTCTTTAAGATCATCAAAAACATACATTAAGTAGGTTTCAGTGTGCTTTTTAAGTATTTGCCTTCTTGAGGCAGAAATATACTCAGAAAAGTTAAACATTACAAACAAAGGGCCTTAATAATTATCACTGTAATGTAATGCCACTTTAATCTTCAGTAGGTATCTTGTTAGAATTGATTTTTGTTAATGGTAAGTTCCTTTCGCATCTCATGACCTTAAGTTCAAAGGTGTTAACAAAGGTGATGACTATTATGGCAGTGCTGATGTGATCATTAGGCCATGAAATGCTCCCACAAGCTGGTATAATGTGACATAGTTACTGTGATATAAGCACTTAGAGGTTTTTAGGTTGGCATCATACAGATCCCATTTGAAAGCAAATAAAGACAAATTTCAGTTATGAATCATCTTTCACCAAGGTTCACTTACTGTAACTCAGTCATAATAAATATACAGTTAAGATAGTGAATTTCAGCCAAACCACTTAATGGATTTAAATAGTACAGTGAATATTGTCAGAAAGATTTGTGAACTGAACTGAAATGAATTTGAATGTACAGAAGCAGCGCACTGCCAGCAGACAGCCATAATTTTTTATCAAACTCTTTTTTGTTCTAAAATAATTTTGAGCTGAAGTTAAGCTAAAAAAAAATCAATACCATTTCTTGAAGAATGTGTCATGGATGACAAATCTTATCACAGTTCAAATAAAAAGCTGCTGAACTGATGGGGAAAACTGAGTAAAATAGCCGACATTAGGACTCAAATTCAGACAGCCACAAAAATTCACCAACTAGTTCCACCCTTATTTGGGTTGCACAAGTCTTTCAATAAAAATAATAATAATAATAGTTACTCTTTCAAGAGTCAATATTAGACTGCAATAATAACTACTATTTCAATATATGTAAAAATAGTCTAACCAAAAAAGTCTAAAGATAAACAGATTTCTTTAGTTTTTATTGGAATGAAAATGGCAGACACTGGGAAGCAAAAATAATTTTTTCACTACACTCATTTAAAACAAAATATTGGAATTACTTTCGACTGACTTATATGTGATTTTATATACTTAAATGCAGGCACAAGCATTCATTTGGCAAAAGATTCTAATGTACACTACAGTTCAGAAGTTTGGGGTTGGTAAGATGTCTTTAATGTTTTTAAATTAAGTCTTTTATGCTCACCAAAGCTGCATTGTTTTGATACAAAAACACTATAAAACGGTACTGTTGTGAAATATTATTACAATTTAAAATAACTTTTTTCTACATAAATATATTTTAAAATGTAATTTAGTCCTGTGATGGCAAAGCTGAATTTTCAGCAGATTCAGATTCTTTTGTAACATTATAAATGTCTTTACTGTCACTTTTGATTAATTTAATGCGTCCTTGCTGAATAAAAGCATTAATTTATTTCTGCCGGTCTGTCTTACCACTCAGTCGTAAAAGACTGAAGTAAGAAGTAAGAAATCCACTTTTCACTAATTTACAGGATAGTTCCTTCCATGTGCTGACTTGTACTGACATTCACAAAATAAATATATTTTTTTCTTTTTTTCTTGTTGCCAAAGGTAATATATTAGCTGGATGGTACAGAATGTTCAAAACTGACAAACACGGATCTGGGATAATTCATTTTTAGTGTCTTCTGGACGGCTTCCAAAACACCACATTTCATGAAATCACCAGATGGCGATGTGAAGCTGTGGAAACTGAAGTGTGTAAGGGTGAGCTGTTATTTATTAGCTGTCACAACTCAATCTCAGACGTTCTTCTGTGGCCCTAACCATAATTTTTTGGAACATATTGCAATTTGTTTAAACAAGAGAACCTAAAATTCAAGCCTCAAATTAGAATTAGTGATAGTTTAGCCAGTCATCTGTCTTAGAAACTCTCTGACCATAGTAACCCTAAAATAAACTTTGACCTCTGAACTCATCTTTGTTTGGTTAACCTGACATTAAACCTGGCTTATAGAATAAAAACACTCATGAGATTATGTTCAATACAACTGCTTAGTTTTCCCCTATAATATCCACCTAGTGACATCTCAAAGTTCAAACTTATCTCACAGGTGTCCAAACAGAAGAAACCAGATTCAAAACTAAACAAAAAGCTGTGTTTCTTTGCCAGTAATGTGAGCCAGTCCCCCATTTATTTCCATATATATTTCAAATTCTGCAAGGGCACCATTGCTGACACTTTAGTGATCATATTAAGCATGTAATTAATAATAATAATAATAATAATTCATTACATTTATATAGCGCTTTTCTAGGCACTCAAAGCGCTTTACATTGTCAGGGGGTATCTCCTCATCCACCACCAGTGTGCAGCATCCATCTGGATGAATTAACAAGCAATAAGAGCAATATTTACTTCAACTGGCATCCTGTCTGGCTAAATGGCTGTGTTTGGGTTTCAGGTAGCCATTTTCAAAAACAAAACTTCCAAGAAGTTTAAAGAAATCAGTGCAGTAAGTTTTAAATGCAATAGATGTTTAGTTGTAAGGAATAGTTCATCAATTCCCCCCCCACAAATCATTTATTCACCATATATTGTTCTAAAATTGTATTGCTTTATTTCTGGTCAGTCAGAACTGGAGCAATACGATTCATAAATGAATAATTCAGTCCAGTTCTGTGAACTTCAGTTTCACAGAATTCAGTTGATTTATTTAAAAGATCCAACCCAACAGAGTGATTTGTTCACAACTCTTCTGTCTGTTTCTCTCACAAAGTTACCATATGGCTTCAGAAGATTTATACAGCAATACATAAATTACATACACCTTTAAAAATAAAGGTTTCAAGTAAGGGGGTTTCACTTTGAAACCACTGAGAACCATTTTCAATGCACATTTCTTAAAATAATTTTTTTTTTTTTTTCCTATTATGAAGAGCATTTTAATAATCTAAAGAATCTTTTTCCACTATAAAAACCATTTTGTGCAGTGGAAAGTTTCCATGGATATTAAAGGACTTTTTAGTGCTTTGTTTATCATTTTTAAACTTGATATCATCCATCCTTATTCACTTATATTATATTGAAAATTGTGGGCAAAATTCTTTACAACAATTAATCTTTTGTGTTCCACAGGAAAATAAATAATAATTTGGATTTGGAACATCAAATAAGGTAAAACAATCAAGACAAGTTTTTACAAATATGATCCATGGTCCTTACTTAAATCTGTTTTGACTTGTTAGAGGGAATGAGGTCTGAAAAAACATTTGCAAACTCTTAGAGGATGTGATCAGCTCTTTCAGAATCATACAACTCACTGCATGTTTGAATAAATAAACACATATATGAGCAAAGACCAGACAATACAACACTGTGTTATGAAATTAGAAGAGGAAGTGCTGGAAAAACAGCACTGAGGGAAAGAAAACAGTCCGTTGTTTTTCAGCCAGTTTCTGCTGGGCATGAGAAGATCGACAGGGCTGAGATTCCAGATCCCGACAGGCTGGCCAGACTCTCTCCTCTCTGCAGGGAGGTAAGATGATATCTCAAGTGGTGTATGAGACTTGACTGCAAATTTAGAGTTCATCTGCCAACTTGCAGCAGGGATGAATTCATCATAACGGTGCCCATGGATTGAAACCTGCCACTGCAGGAAGCCTGTGCCAAGAGTCACCTTGCCTGAAAAAGATTGATCAACATTGTTTTAATGCAGCCATATAAGTAATGTATGAAAGCTGCCATAAAAATAAACAAAAGGTAACTGTGACTTTATATCTCTCACTGTTGTTGCTACTTACCTCACTGTGATGAAAGTTACAGGTGTACATATTTACTGCCTGAGAAATGTCTTATTTTTAATCATTAAATACAATTAAGAATAATAAGACACTTATAGAGCTGTTACAAATCAAATGAAATATCTAACAACAAACTTAATCTTTGCACTGCAGAGGCGGCATAGAAGCTGCATCTGAATTGGTACAATTACAAATGCATAAATAATGTTGAGAATAATGTTTTAAAACTAAAAATGTTTTTATTGAATATTTGTATAAAAGCAATATCAAATTTGTGAAAACAGTTCTCTTGCTCTCTATATCATTCAATTATATCATATTATAATATAAAAATCCAGATATCATACACGCAATATTTTTGCAACAATACCTTGAATTTTGTGGGTGTATTAATTTTGGTGACATTTTTGACACAATCTCACAATAATGTCTGACCAGGCATAACAATATAAATCAGTGGTTCTCAGCCAGGGGGCCGAGGCCCACAACAAACTTCCAAGGGGGCTTCAAGATGACTTAAAA